CGAAACGACAAACGGGCCCGCTGGTGGCGTAACCGCGTTCTTCTTCCCCCGCCCTGTTTCTACAGGCGAGGGCCGCGACAACCGAGCAACTTCCCGCCGTTTCAGGGTTAGACGGAACCGCCCCGTAACAACTCCAACAGTTCGCGTCCCAGAAGTTCCTCTGCAGCCAAGCGAAGCGCGGGAAGGAGCTCACCATCCTTCAGCCAGAGTACAAGAAACGATGGGTGCTTCAAACGGAACTGAGGGCGTCCCTTTGCAACCGGAGGGAAACTTCTCGGTGCTTGAAACTCAAAAACACCTTCACCCCCAGCCCTTCCTCTCTCTCCATTGCATACTAACAGCTGGATCTCCCCTCCACTGTTCCTACTGTATCTTCCACGAAGATACTGAAACTGCTCTTTCTGAAATGGTAGTGTTCTCACAGCCTCGTACTCGGTAGTGGAGAATTTTTGTTCCCAGAAATTTTTTTCCTAGTTTAAATATCTGAAATTCCTCAACTCACCTGGCTGATTCTGGAGCCCTTATGTCCCCAGTTGAAAATGAAAGGTGATACTGAAGGCACAGTAACATCTCAAGGTCTGATTTCTCCACAGCATGAGGGACAAGGTAGATGTACAGAACTGATGAGTTAGACATTGGGCTGGGGACCTAAAATACTCAGATGCTTGTCATATAATGGTCACTGAATATGCCATGTTATCACCATATCAGGTCTCCTTCAGGCACCACCAATTTCCCCTGTGCACTGGAGGACAAAAGAAGAATCAGTTTTCTTCCATAGGAATGTTAGAACAATTTTTTGCATAGCATATTGCTTTGGATGAAAAGGATATATTCAACCGCCTAGGTACAGTCCTAAGGAAAAAAAAAAAAAAGGTACTGCATTTGCCTCTCCCCAGTCAATGAAGTTAACAAGACTGGAAATTTTGTTACCTTGATTTCAACATCACCAGACCTATACCAGAATATTCTCAGTATCATTACTAGAATTTACTGCATCAGTATCAGTACTGGAATTTATTGCATCTGCAGATTTAACATATTCAGGTATCAGGTATGTTTGATTCTGTAAGTATTTTTGTGTTACTGTTAAAATAGTATTTTCTTAGTGTTCTATTTAAAGAATATGAGAAGACATTTTCAAGTACACAAAAGATTTCTTTTGGTCCTCTTTAGAAGCAGATTTCCATCTCTTTAGGTCCAAATTCAGTATATCTGGAAGTTCTGCATTATTTTGGTAAGAGGGATGTGTCTTCCATTTTTTCTGATGGGACAGGAAATGAGCTATCATTCTAGCTTGGCTACCAGGGGAGGAAGAAGATTAACAAACTGACACCTTCAGATTAGGCTAGAGGACTTGCATCCTGCAGCTCTGAACATTAGAAATCTTGAAAATTCAAGACAGGAAGATGAAGTACTTTTCAGTATTCCAGTTCATGTGAAGTTCAACTACTCTTGTTTTTGCCTCTTCCAGTTACTGATACCCACTTTTCATTGCTGCATTTGCCTGCTGCAATTACTGACTTGCACAAGAGCAATAAAAAAGGAAGATGCAAATACTAGGACATAAGCTGAACTGCACTTTCTGTAAATCAACCTCCCTTTTCCAAATCACATTAGCTAATGATGGCAGCACCTTCACGTACATTCACCTTCAAAAACTGATCTCTTAAGTAATTCCAAGAAAAATGGGGGGGAAGGGAGGGAGGGCTGAGAAGAGAAATGAAAGCCACGCAAGGAGAATTGTAATAGCTGCCTCTCAGTTATTACTGACTGTATTAAAATCTCTTCTTTTTTGGAATTCAGTCTGGGACTGAAGCATCAGCCTAAGAAATTCCAGAGCTGACAGAGTAACATACATGATGGTGTCTGCACACACCATGCAGAGATGAAGACACAAACATGTGTTTTAAGGGAGAAAGTGGAACTACAGAAGAGGTGCGTTAGTCAACAGGCAAGTCTCTCTATATCCTGTATTTTGTATAGCTGGTAACACAGACACTAATGGAAGGGACAGAAGTTCCAACTATAGGGACAGTCAGTGACAAGTGAACCCCACAGACGTTTCACTGTGAATCCTGAATGTACATCTATAAAGAACATGTAAAATTCTAACTGTCTTTACAACTACTTTACTTGGATCAACATAAAGCTGAATCCTAGCTTGTGTTTCAGCTAGTCAAAACCAAAATGAACCACACAGATTAAGGTATTAGTGTAAGATTTAAAAAGAAACTATATTGCAACTGGAATAAAGGCCAGTTATGATACTACAGTAAATGCTATGCCACAATTAAATACAATGCCAACAATGCTGTAATAAAATACACCTCCAACATGAGATTGGTGTCTTAAATACCTCTATTTGGTGGTGATAAATTACACCATGGACCCTTCACTTTCTGCAGTAACCATATAGAACCTCCACACACTGCCTAAAAAACAATTAGGGGATGAGGCTAAGAAATCAGTTGTGTTGGGAGAAATTAAAAAAGTTGATAGCCATGTCTTTTTGAACTGCTTGGATCCAGCTTTCAGGTAAATAGCAGTATATTCACCCAAGTTTATCCTGAATGTCTCAATTGTTCTCATACAACTTCATAATGCCCTCACCTACCACAATTTATTCTCACCCTGACCTTAAACTCCAATTTAGTTGGAGATGCTTTAGAAGTTAAGGCACCCCCACTTTAACTTTAGTAGTTAGTTTTGCTAAGATTCCAGCTGGTTCAGACTTAGACCTGTCTGCTGAGCTATTGTGTTTGGACAGTATTAGCACTTAATGCATTCACTAGCACAAATACATTCATTAGCTCAATAACAGATGTAATTTCTTTTCTGACATGTCACCCTGTCCCAATTCCAGTGCTAGCCTACCTTATCCTGAACTATCTCAATCAGCCACCCTGCATTATTCTGTCCACCCGACTTGTTCTGAGCTGCCATCTCTAAGTCCCAGATCTACTCAAATCCAGTCTATTTCCACTGCAAATTACCTGATGCTTCCTTATTTGCTCAGATATGCCACAAAACACCACGATCTGCTCTGATCCATTACAAGATCCCCAGAACCATCTCTAGCTAAGACACTTCAGCATTAGATGGGTATTTTCTGCAGGAAAGAATGTATGTAACAGCATACAAATTAAGATGCCAGTCGTGTCAGAGCTCTGGAACAAATCCTGCAGCTCCATTTTTCTGCACCCTTCCTAATCCCTCTGCAGGGCCATGTATCTCTCATTGCCAGCTCCAAGACACTGCATCATAAGAGAAATGCAGTTGGTTAAAGCCTGACACAGGCTTTGGCTCAGCTCGTCATAACACTAAAAGGATTTTGTCTGATTAATTTCAACCTGTCAGTAGAGGTCTCTGGGCAGAATGAAGGAACCTGCCACCCTGCATGTTTCCAATTAATACAACTTCTGAGAAGGTGCCTGGAGATCCATCAACAATCTTAATTAAATCCAACCAAATGGATGACAGCTAATCATAAGGGAGTAGCTCTCTTGGGACAATGGCTGCAGAGTGCATATGCAAGTATGGTAAGGGAGGCAGATGGCCGCTTGTCTAACGTAGCAAAGCCTGTTTAAACAGTGATGTCCCTGATGACTGTGTTTTGATTCAATTTATCCTGTTCCCAGTCCTTTAGGAGTTAACTGTTCTTCCACACCAGTTAAAACTACCCTTCCAAGGTGCAAGAGGGGCGTTTCAGCTGTGATTCTCCAGCAGCTGCACTTTGCAGACCATTTCCGGGGAAAGAATCTCATTCTCCTTTCCATCCGAACACACATATCCACTGTGGCTTGGCTCTCATTCTACTTACCAGCACAGAGGACCCAGAGATCCTTAAGTTTGAAAATTACTACAGTGACAGAAATAAGAACAGTCAATTCTTCTTTGGTTCTAGAAACTATCAGTGTTAGGTATGAAATCAATATACTTCACTGAGGTTATATGCTTCCTAGAAATTGCAGTCCTTGCTAAAGGACAGAAAACACAGACTGCTAGTTCAGTACATATAATACCCAGCTTCTTACTGAAAAAGTAGGCAGCACCTGGTATCAGTTTGGCAGGAGAATGACAACTTGTTTATCCAACAATGAACTGGATTGCTAGATTTTTAACCTTCTGTCAGATGTGTGTTTCTCCTCTCTCACTTCTCAGAGGGCATGAAGTTATCCTAGCTTGTCAAGTCAGTTCTGAGACACAGCACCAATAGAATCTACTAGTGTTTAATATGAACAGATACTAATTTTAAAACATCAGTGCTAGTGCATACAGCCATCCTGATGGCTTTGAAATCTTCCCTCTAGTCACACAGTAAACAGGAAAAATGCATGACTAGCAGTGAAGCCTACCAAAGGGTTTACAGAGGTAATCTCTTTATCATCCTCAATATTTTATATCTTTTCTAAAATTCCTGATTACTCAGTTGTGTGTTTTTATGAGTAGGGGCAGTACTGTAAGAACTTGATTAACCCAGACATTGTGTACACTATTCAGTCTCAGTATCATATAAGCCTTCCAGTAGTCACAACATGAGTGATGACATTCAGCCACCATCTAGCTGGTTTGGATTTAAAGCAGTGAAGTGAGAATGCTAGTTAGTAGTCAAGAGCAGAAATCAGAAACCTTTTTCCAAAATATTTATAGTTACTGCAGTGACCTTCCTCCTTGTCTGCGTTCACATACTTGCATTAGTAGGACAGCTAGGATTGTAAATTAAATTCATTGGCTAGGACTGGGAGTAGTGTTTGGACATCATATAGCAATCCTTCCAAATGCATTATGTAAATTAATTGCAAACTCTTTGAGGGTATGAGACCCAGCTTCTCCTCCTGACTCCTCCAAATAACAGGAGAAAGATGAAAGCAAAGCCCTGGTGGTAGAACCACCTTTATTCAACATTTTGCAGTCCTTTCTGTGCAGAGAAGCGGATGTTGC